TCCTGAGCGTGTTATTATTTCCTGCTGCTTTTTACTAAGCCATTCCTTCTTAACCTTCATTCGTTCTGGTGCAAGGGGGTAATCTGTGTGTTGTGAATGGAGGGCTTGGGGATATTCCAGTTTAACTTTAAGGATATATCCTTCAGAAGAATCGTCTGGTATTTCATTACTCTCTATTTGTTTTTGAATGTTAGATAACTCGTTTTTCTCCTTTACCCAGTGGAAGTTACCTGTAGGTAAGTATTGCAACATGGCCCATCTATATAGGTTATTTGCATCTAAGTATAGAATAGATGACTTGGACTTTTCTGCAGTCCATTTACCTTCTCCCATATCTGGGTTATTTGCACGAGCATATCGTTTACTTACCATAGAGATTCCACCACGTAATCCTTGTTCTACCATCATGTACATATCCTGGTCAGTTATAAGATCCAATCTTTGCCCTGTCATGAAGAATAGTGCATCCCATGCAAAGCCTGGTATTGAGTAATACCAGAGAGGATCTAACCCATATTTTTTCAAGGCCATTTCTCGGAAATTCTGAAATATATCGGCTAGTAGGCGGACGTCAGTTTTGAGATAAATGTCATGATAATCTTGCATTGTTTTACATCCTGCTTTTTCCCATACATACTGTGCATATTCATATTCTTTATCACTAATGTGGGTTTCATTAAGTTTGCTATAAAATGCTCCTTTAGGTGGTAAACTAGTTTTCTCGAACTTTTTCCAGTCATCCATGTATTCATACGGGTAGACACCTTTCTTAAGATAAATCTCGAGTAATTCAGGTGGTATTTGACTTCGTGTTATCTTAAAGTTTTCGGGATGTGCAAAGCATCTACCTGCATCAATTCGCCATAAGTGTTGTGGATTACTACATTCTTGTGCTCTACATTTTTCTGCACCTAGGTTGGATGCTAATTTGTCGAGACTTGATTTCATGAATTGTAAGCTGTCTATAAATCGGAGGGAACCTAACTTGAATGCCATATACTTTTCCATGTTATAAGGGATAGGATCAATATCATCCTCACATTCCATTGCACCAATTCCTTGCATAATTATGTGTCCATCATATCCTGATAAATTGTGAAAGATTACTGGGATATGCATTTCACGAGGTTTTATGGATAAGTCAAGATTACATCCTCTATGTGCTGCACCTCGATACCTTCCTGTAATATGGCAGTGGTCTCTTACTTTATTTCCATCTAAGGGGTTACGACATATCCAGCAGTTTATTGCATTATCATAACTTGCTTGCTCTTGGGTTGTTAACGGCATCATTTCCATTGGGTTTCTGAATTCATTACGGATTGCTTCAGCCTCATTTAGCATTTCGATTACAAATTTTTGTGCTGCATTTTTTCCTGTAAATATCTTCTGTGATTCACTTACACCATCATATCTTACCTTAATATATGAGTATGAGCAGGGGATTTGCTCTTGTACTTTCTTGGTTTTCTTATCTTTGTCTTCATCTGTGGGTAGTATGTCCATTACTAGGGCTTCAAAGTCTGCAACAAAGTAATATGGGACTTGCATGTGGTGTTTCCAGTTCTTGAATTCATATATATCATTTCCTTTCTTTACTGATGGCATTCGGTCTGCTTGTGGGGTTTTCTTTAATCCTCGACATATTGCTACATATTTGTCATGGATTTCTTGTTGATGTGTGAAGTGGAAGATACATCATCGGCAGACAAATATTGCATGTCCATTTTTTGTACGTTTATTTACTAAACGGCTTATATTCTTAATCCAGCAATAGTGCTGCTTTTCCCCATTACTGATAAGTACTAAATCTATTATTTTACAGCCCTCTGCATCATCCCTATCACACAGATCGAAATGCTAAAAATCGGCAAAAAAAATGGCGCAAAAAGCAGTGGCTATTCTTGGCTATTCTTGGCTGTTTTTGGCTATTTACAAATTAACCTATACTATTTGTAAATAGTTTATACAAATTTGCGAATAGTTTATGTGATTTGCACCATTTTTTTTGCCTATTTTTGATCATTTGACGTGTGTCAGTAACATATATTGGACATAGGCGGTGATCACGCCATTCACAGATGCAGAGGGCAATAGTTGGGTTCTGTCGCTCAAATCTTCTTAGAATTACCTCATCAGCTTGTACTGGAAATTCGATACCTTCAAAGTTTAACTCATTTACATACTCCTTATACTTGGAGATTCTTTCTGCATTCTTTTCTACTGGATGTAATGCTGCTAGGATTGCCCACTGAAAGCATTTGTCATCATCATTAGCTGGATTTACTACTCCCTTTTTCGTGGCAAGATCTTTTGGGAGTGGTATATATCCTGCTCCTGTGGGTGGTTGGAATTGCGAGATTTCTATAAATATTTTTTCTACATGATAGAATTCCCAACCTGATCCGTAATTTACATAGTCTTCTACTTTTTGCATGATTCTTGCTAATGCAAAGTTAAATGTACCATTAATATCTGTTGATGGTAGGATTGGCATATTGCGAGTTTTAAATGGTATGTTATATCTGTAGATATACTCTACTCCATCATCTTCACTAAAGTTACCATCTCCGAATAATCCCTCAAGGTAAGAATCTAAACGTCTTATTGTGGCAAATATTCCAATTCTTACCTTTATTGATTCCAATCGATTTCTTTCATCCTGAAGAATATTCTGGATTGTTTGACTGTGTGCTGTAAGAAATGAAGCATAGTCATGCTCTTCAGGTGTTCCTATAGCAATATCAGCCGTAAAGTTTGAGTCTGTTAACTCCTTTCCTATACGTACCTGATCACGACGTTCAAAGACTACCTCATAATGTGGGTCTGGGTCAATTTGCATCATGTGGGTTATCTCTTCATTGGTTACCGCTGCTTGTGCTTCACGGATTTGGTGGATTTCATCCTCATATTTTTGCAATTTTGCATTTGAGCGGGGATATGGGATGGACTTGACAGGTACCTCCTTGAGTTCAGCTAGAACTGATCGGGTGACTTGTCTGTGTTGGGCACTTCTTGCTTGATGTGTTGACATCTTGTAAACTTTTTATACTCCTCTTTTATTCAATTAGATTTTTTCTGAAAATAAAATTAATTGTCTGCCTACTTTATGAGGGTAAAAAAAAGAGGGAGACAGATTAGTACTGTCTTCCTAAACTATTCCTCACCATCTGAGTCATCGGGATTGTCATCCGAGTCACTGAGCACATCCTCGTCCCGATGTATTCTCTATCCTTAAGTAACTTATAGTTGTAAGCTACAACGGCGAATAGCTTCTTTTACCATAATATGCTCTACTGCGGCATTTGTTCTCTCTTTACAAGCCTTTTGATATGCCTCCCATTCAAATTCATGGAGGATACCCTCCTCCTCCAATGATTGGCCAAGAGCATCATTTGCTTTTTCCTTCTTTTCTACTGCCCTGTCGTATGCCTCCTTGACTTTTTTATGCCACTTCCAGATTACTCGTTCAGCTTTAGCTCTCCAGATTGGGCTGACTTCTAGAAGATGTGTCCTGAAATTTCTACTTGGAATGTATTCCAGGATATGGCCCACAAGTTCGGGGATTACTGATACTGCGTACGGGGTTTGGTGGCTTTTTAGGATCTCCCTATTAAGATCGGAGACTGTGCAGCCAAAGATTGATGCCAACTTTTCCACGGTATATGCCATGTTATGTACTGTTTATCTGTATAGTTACTTGGTACCTACCTTTTATTTAATTACATTTTTTCTCGGTATAAGGGTAATTGCTTGCCTTGCTATTCCGCTCTATTGACTCCATAGCTGGTTTCCTGAATGGGTTAATATTTCCTTACCTTTTTTGGCTCCGTTAGCTTTGAAATCCTATTTCTTGTTCGGTTGGGGGGTAAGTAGGTGAAAATATTAATGAACGATTTAGATTATGAAATAAGTAGGATATAAGTGAATTAGATTATGAGATAAGTAGGATATAAGTAAGTAAAAATATAAAAAAGGTGATATAAGTAGGTGAAAAATGTAAAAAGGTGACCAGGATTGGACCCACAGCCAGTGGAAGAGCAACGGGGATAGCAAAAAAAAGGTTGTCAGAATTGGACCCACAGCCGGTGGGAGAGCAACAAGGGAATAGCAAGAAAAAGGTAACCAGGATTGGACTCCGAGGAAAGTGAGCCAGAACTGGCATTTATATACTACTGTTTTTGACCATAAATAGATCAGACAGAGGCTTGTCATGGGTTTTAATTGTATGGTATGGGATTTCAAGTTACACATTTTCAAATTATTTACATGGAGACTATAAATCCAAACGTCAGACAAATTTTTTTAGTTATATAGATTTTTTTTTTTTAAATAATAAATTTCTTTTTAAAATAATAATTTACTAGTGAATAAAGCTTTACTATTTGGTTTCCTCTTTTAGATGGTTCTTATTATCTTATAACACAATGAATGAATCGAATGGCAGCTCCCCTGCTTCTCTGCTAATAAGTCAATTTCTTGTTAATTATTATAATTATTAATGATTATTATAAATATTCAGCTGGTGTAACATGTTATGATGCAGCATCACAAGAAACATTTATACTACGAATAGGGATGGGGTCGGTTCAATTATGTAATTTTGAGCAGTTTTTGGAACTGATCAAAATCTCGTGAGTTTCGAACTTATATGAGCCAAAAATCTTATTGGGAATAGAGAAACACTAATATTTTTACAATAAATAAAAAAAAAGAAAATTTATAAGTCAAAACAATTTTTAATAGCTTTTAAAAATTGAACCGCATCAGTTCCGAACCGGTTCTAAAAACCGGTTCAAAATATGATCAACATCAAAATTATAATGATAATGAACCAACTATTGATTGTTAACCAATCAAAATTTTTTTAATTCATAATCAATATATGTTCAACTTGTGTCTTTAATTTGACACATGTAGCTCATATTTTTTTTAATGGGAACTGACGTGGAACTGACGAGGAACTGAAATAAAACCGAACGAACCGTCCCCATCCCTAACTACAAAGCCATATCCTGTCATGTTCTGGTGATATTCCTGCCCTATCCAAAGTTATGTGCCTATCTGGCCATAATGCTTACTATGGATGTCGTTTTTGTTATTTATGTGGAATATATTCCAGTACAGCTAAACATATTTATTTTCCACTGCAACCACCATGCGGATATGATGGAACTAATTATGATCCAAACAATTTGCCAATGCGCTCTCACGCCAGCTATCTTCAAGATATTGAAGTAGTAGAAAATAGAGGTAGGAATAGAATAATGCATGAACGAGGTAAACTTTGATACTTTGATTTGTATAATTATAGAATATTTATGAATTAATTAATAAAATATTTAATAATAGGTGTAAATGGTCGTAGCATCTTATTGGAATTACAATCAATAGATTTTCCTGCATCATTTTCAATAGATATCATGCATGCACTTTTTGAAAATATAGCTCCACATATGTTTCGCCATTTTAATAGAAAGTTTTTTAACAATAAAGAACTTAATGATACTGATTATAAAATTTCATCTGACAGCTGTAATGAAATTACAAAAATAATTGAACAAAATCAAAAAAACATGCCAATGGGATTTGGACGACCTCCTATTAATATTTTAAAACATCACTTTGCTTTTAAAGCAGAAGATTGGTACAATTGGATAGTTTTATATTCACTTCCACTTCTCCACAATTATTTGCCTACAAGGTATTATATTTTAAATTAATTGGTTATTTCAGTTATTATACAATATTAATTAATTTACTTTAAATTTTTAGACATATAAATGGATGGGCAAGATTTATTAGGGTGACTCAATTGTGCCTTGAACCAACTATTTCTAGGCAAGAACTTGAAGAAATTCAATTAATTTTTATTAGATTCATTCATTACTATGAGAAGTAAGACCTTATTATATTATATTCCATCTTTTTTTCATTTGTTGATAAATATAGGACCTTGGATATCTAATATAAAGGTCATAATGGACTTTTGGCCAAAAACACCCCTTTTTGCTGAAACTCAAAAAATCGTTTTTTGTAAATATCTCAGCATCCAGTAATTCAATTTTAATGAATTTTTTTTTTATTTTGTAGCCCTCATTTAGCTCTACAATTTAAAAAAAAGTTCATCAACATTGGACCACTGGATGCCGAGATATTTACAAAAAATGATTTTTTGAGCCCCTGAAAAATGGGCCAATCTGCCGAAAGTGTGACTTATGACCTGTTTTGGAGATATCCGGGGTCCTATAAATATTGTTACTAACATTTAAACAAAAAACTTAGTGAATACTATCAAAGAGATTCTGATTGACTTCCAGCAACTCTTATTAGCTTTCATTACCTCTTACACATAGCATATTCAATTCAAGAAACAGGTCCACTATGGGCAACATGGCAATTTCCGATAGAGAGGCTATTTGGAATGTTAATACCTTTGGTCCATTCTAGACAGCATCCATATACAAACCTAATAAATCAGATAACTATGTGGTTACAATTTGCACACTTGCAATACTATTCTGAATATAATCAGAAGGTTTTAAATATTTTTCAAAAAGGTCCATTAGAACATGCTTTTAGTTTTTCAAATACTAGAGAAAAATTGCATCCTCCATTTCAAAAGTATAATGTGACAAATTCAGAGATTCAAAAGGTTAAGCAATATTATGCTACTGTGTTAAATTTGGCAATAAATGACATAGGTGTATGTATCTATATTTATATAATTGACATTACAAGAATCTTAATTTTAAATACAAAAATTGATTAAATTTAGGTAATTACCGAACATATCCAAAAGTATGGCAAGTTGCAAACTGAATCTGGGGTAATAATTGGCTCAAAACTTGCTAATCGCAAATGAGATATAGTGCGAAATAACTATTCAATTGCTGTAAGAAAATTTTTAAATTATATTATTTTAAATCATTCTGCTAATATTTTATTATTATATAGGCAAAACTTCTGGTTGACAAAAATGCACATTTACCAAGAGCACCTGTTGATTTTGAAGAGCGTGAATTTTATAGTCAAATCTTATTTTATTTTGTATATAAACTTAATAATGAGTTATCGATGCTTGCATTTGTGCAATGGATAAGAAACCCAGAAAAATTAAGCAACAACATACTATTTTTTCGCTACTTTGGTGAAACAAGTGTTGTTAATGTGGCTGCTATTGATTGTTGTGTGGGATTTCTTGAAATAGCAGTAAATAAGTTTATTATAATTGATAGAGAAAATCATATTTCATTTAGATAAAAACTTAGTATTATTCAGGTTATAATTTTAGTGCAATCAGATTGTTATTTAAAATCAATATCAATTTTCAGAGTTCCTATAAAAAGTATTATACTTAAAATATACAGTCGTCCTCCCATATAGTCACCCCCTGTATAATCACAACTCCCTTATAAGCACATTTACATTAATCCCAAGTTACTAATAAACTTATTAAAAAAACCTTCCCTTTAATCACATCATATATAATTTTTATAGTCACACCATTTTTTTTTGGTCCCGAAGGGTGTGATTATATGGGAGGATGACTGTACTTAAAATATATTTAAAATATACTTAATTTAAAAATTGCAAAATACTTATAATATATTTTTAATATATCTAAAATATACTTAAAATTATCTTAAAATATATGTCTAATATATTTAATTTTTGCCCATATACTTAAAATATATTTAAATTATATTTAAATTAAAATTTAAGTATATTATAAGATTATTATAAGTATATTTTTTACATACTTAAAATATACTTAAAATATATTATGAAATATATTATAAGAATATTTTAAGTATGTAAAAAATATACCTATAATATACTTAAATTTTAATTTAAATATAATTTAAGTATATTTTAAGTATTTGGGCAAAAATTAAATATATTAGAAATATATTTTAAGATGATTTTAAAATTTTAAATACATTTTAAGTATATTATAAGTATTTTGCAATTTTTAAATTAAACACACGTCAAATGATCAAAAATAGGCAAAAAAAATGGCGCAAATCGCATAAACTATTCACAAATTTGTATAAACTATTTACAAATAGTATAGGTTAATTCTTAAATAGCTAAAAACAGCCAAGAATAGCCAAGAATAGCCAAGAATAGCCACTGCTTTTCGCGCCATTTTTTTTGCCGATTTTTAGCATTTCGACCTGTGAAATATATTTTAAGTATATTTTAAATATATTTTAAAAAGTTTTTAATTATATTTTAAATATAAATACTTTTTATAGGGAGTATAATTGGAATATTTTCAAACTATTTTCAGAATTTTTACTAAAAATTTTCTTATATTGAATTTCTAAATTTTGACTAAAAATACCATTTACAGTGTAATCGGAATGTTTTCAATGTTTTTCGGAATACTTTTAAAATATCTGGAAAATAATCGGAGTACTATATTGAATAAAATTTTTTATAAAGATATCAATTTTGTGTTGATTTACAAAAAATAAGAGGTGAAAATTAATTGTTAAATACTATATCTGTTATCATGATCACTGTATCCATACTATCACATCATACTTTAATTCCCATTATCTTGCGAGGTTTTCTTTTTATGTCTCTATAACGTAATGTGTCTATCCGGAATGATCATCTTTGTATGGTACGATTTCTTCTACAAATATAATTATGAAATCACTAGTTATTGAATGAATAAATGAATATATCGGTAAAAACAAACCCATTTTTGTTTGTATTATAAAAGACACTGTCTATATATAACGGGTGACTATTGGCATCATCACAAGAGTTTTTTATAGTAATATGTCCGATGAGGCTATTAGGACACGTTTATTATATTTTTATTCCATGGGTTTATCTCATTTTGTATACCATGTAATCAAATACAAGTACAATAGTAATAGAAGAATAACTAATAGATCAGGACAAAAAAATTTCAATCTCCACTTCTCACAAAAATACCTAGTAATATATTTACTTCGGAATATACGATATTGTTACGCGGAATGTTGATCGATCTGTACCATGTAGAAACTTCAGTAGGAGAATCAAATGATCGGCAGCGTAACGGTGTAATTTACACATAGTATAATTTATATAAAGTATAATTTATATTTAGTATAATTTATACCAAAATCATGAATAATATATATAGAATGGGCGAACGGTAAGGAAGACAGAGTTTAGAAAGGTTTTATTTTAATAGGTTGGTTTTATCGGTAATATTGCAGATCACCGGTAGAGGCAGCAATATTTTATTTATTATGATTATTGAATTTATTATGTATTAGTATTTATTTATTTGTAATGTTTCATTTATTTAAGTTATTGCTTATTTGAATAAAGATACACTTTAAATTATATCAGATATATATACTTTAAGTTTACATATACACCTTATTTTTGTGATAAATATAATATGAATTTCTGTTACTATCACGTGACTTTGATGCAAATCGATAGTAACAATATATTGCTGATAACGGTGATAGGAATTCCATAAAAATGTTGCGGACTGAGTACAAAAATGGAAGTTTCGGTGTTTCACATAATTTCCACATATTCCTCAATAATCAACTTTTAATCTTGAGTTGTAGCATAGTATTCATTATTTAAAACGGAAGATATAGAAGCAATAATTAACTACATTATCCTTCCATAGGCACTCTTCGGTATGATTTATCTTTAATACGTCATCTAACAACCAGAACCAATAACCCGTTACTTATCATTTGTGTATAGACAAAGTATCTAATGATATAACTCCATTTTCATGATCATTATATTCGTGTTATAACAATACCATAATAATGTATCACACCGTTATTAACAGAGAGAATAGTTTGGAGTCCAGACATTAGAATTACAGTATATTTTGAAATAAATCATTTTCGCTCAACTATATTACTATATGTTATATACAACCCACACTATAACATATTAACATTTTAGTCTCTCTCGAAAATTGTTATTACAATGTCAATCTCAATTAGTCTTTAGACCTTCCAAAGGAAGTGAAATAAGACCACCTATAGAATATGTATCTCATATTTACTTATTACTGAGATAATATCCATGTCCGTTTGTTATCATTGCTGCTTTTTCTACATTTCAAGCGTCTTTTAGATGTTTCTGAACAATCCAGGGTTAGAGACTGATCTTAACCCCACTAGTGTATTCTGTAGCTTACAGTTTTATTCTATGTTAACATGATGGACCGTGAGCATGATAAAAAGGAAAATCCAAAGAAATCAGACTCATATTCCTTGTATAAACGTTATCGAATTTTTCTCTAATGATATCCCTGGTACTCCACACTAAGCGTCTTGCCCTATGAACCTAGGTTCCTAGAACCTCCTCTGTTAACAGCGTGGTTGAGTGGCAAGACGATCACTATTTACTATACGGACTTTCTGTCTGCTCGTTTGTTAAATGATTGTCTTATATTCTGTTACTTAGAAAGGGTGTCCTTCAAAACTATACAATAATATTCCTATTGGTATCGGCCAGATATTATGAATAATAAAAATATATTGACTATTTATCACGTAAAACATTATCCTAATAATCATTTGAATTGCAAAGCAACACAGGACCAGCTCTAAAAGTAAATATTGACGGCAAAATCATATGTTATGAAAGGCTGAGGACTTTGTAGTTTCAAGATCAACAAGAACTAACTACCTTTGCATCTCTCTGGTAGATCTCCATTGAAAATTCCATTTGCATGTGCTTTCATAGAGTTCTTGGCATTAGACAACAATATTAATTACGCCTTATACCTCCTTATCTTTTCCCAGCAAAATATATAAAGCATGTAGGTGTATGTGGAAGTTCAGCCAACTTTCCTTCCCAGAAAAAATAACGCAAAATAAGGTATGTATATCATAGCATAAATTATATATGTATGGGAGCGAGTTTTTTCTCACTATGGGCCTTCAGTTGTTTTTAGGAACGCAATATTTCTGATAAGGCTGAAGTGCCTGATAAGTCCAAAACATCCGATAAATCAAAATTTGACAACTTGGAGACATTACTCTCAACTGCCGCCTTTACAGAAACCTTCAATTTTTCCAAATATGTTTGATATATCACTGATAGATAGCATTTATAAATATAACATATTATCATATATGAAATATTGTTAATATATAGTTAACATACAAGCAAAATATATTAATAATATGTTCTTTATATGCCTAAATTCATATTAAAAATAAAATATAGCAAACGCATGTCTAAAATATATTCAAGATATGTTCGCCATATGCCAAAATTCATATTAAAAGCAAAATATAAACAAAATATGAGTAACATATAATTGTAATGTGTTTGATATATTCCAAAAATACATATTAAGATAAATAAAGTTAACATATAAGCAAAATATATTGATAATATGTTCTTTATATGCCGAAATTCATATTAAAAACAAAATATAACTAATGTATATCTAAAATACATTCGAGATATGCTCTTTATATACTGAAATTCATATTAAAAGCAAAATATAAGCAATAT